TGGTAAAACCATTAGTTGCGTACTTGGCTTAACTTTCCCTTTCCTTACCCAAACCCCTTGCTGCCAAGATACTTTACTAAGGAAAGTATTTTCTCTGATGTGCAGCATCCTCCATTCAATCAGGACACATCAGCATGGGGAAGGAGAGAAGTGGAGACAGTTGGCTTAAATCTATTCTTTTTTTCTTCTTTCTTTCTTTTCCCCTCTTCTTTAACTAATGTTGCTTAAAATAACAGATCTTGACGTTTTCTGCTTCAGAACAATAATTTACAAAATCTTTGCTGGTTGCTTTAAAACTGGATCCATGAACTAGAGCTATAGAAAAGCAGTGATAGCTGCCAGTCAGGCATATTCCTAATTTGGCTGTTAACATACTAATTTTGATCTAGCTGTAAATTACTTACAAATTCAGGCTGTGCTCTTGAAATTGCTTCTGCTGCTTTTAATATGCAAGCATGTGTCCAAGTGCAATATGCCAAACAGAGCAGGACATTTCTGGCCATGGTGTCTGTATTGTCTGTTTAAGCAAGGAGTTCAAGGAAGTTCTGTCAATCTAGCTGCGACCTCACGCAAATGTTTTCTTGAAAAGGAATGACAGAGAGCACTTCTTTTCTCTATTTACATGTAATCCTAAAACAATATTATCTACATGAGCCAGATCTTATAATATGGATCTGTCTTGACTCATTTTTTTTTATTATTGTTATTGTAAAGATAAGCATTAACAATTAAATATGTTTTGATTGCATAAAATCTGATTATTCTAAACAGCTGACTGCTACTGTAACTTTATAGCTGTAGCTATGTAACTGCAAAAACCACAGGAGACAAATAGAAAGGGTATACATTTTGCTTGGCATGGATGTATTTATTCATTTTTTGAGAGATCCAAAGCCCTTTCTTTATTTTGCAAGCTGTGTAAAATGTTCATACAACTTCTTGTACCACTTTTCCTACTTGTTTTCAGGTGCTGGATGTAGTCACAACAACTTATTTTGTCTATGCATATATTATGAATGTCACTCATACTTATGAGAATTCAAGCCTCTCCATTGGTATTACCTGGCATTTAAATGGACTTCTTGGAGGTTGATGGGTGATCAGTTTCCTTATGAATTCTGGTTTGTTTATTGGAGTTGTGCCTTTATAATTCATTGCACATTTCAGATCCTTCTTTGCAAAGGCTTTACCAGCACAGAGTTTTTTGGTTTACTTTTTTTATTTGTTTTCTTTAAACAAAACAAAACCCATGACCAGAGTTGTTGAGTATTGTGTTTTGGGAATCACATCACAGCTGTAGCCTTCTCAAACACTGCGGAAAGAATCTGCATATAAACAGATGTGGCTTTAAGTTTTGCATCTGTATTTGACCAGCAGAAGAGATTATGCTTCTGCTGAAATGCCTTGTGTGAAATCAAAGTCAATACAGCAATGCTGTGATTGCCAGGGCTCAAATCCTGTTATTTTGATTTAAAAATAACAATATGGATTTTCATATGATCGTTATGAATCCAACCCCTATGACTCTGGACAATTTTATTATACTTGGCTGAGTTGTCAGTATTATACATACCTATGATTTGATGACTACCGTACTGCTTTTGGTCCTCTACAAATTACATAAGGGATGTGGATATCATTACAGAAGAATAAGATTGCTGCTGAAGCTCCATGTTTTGTAGGAAGATCTGCATGGTAGGTTAATAGTTCTCAGTGTTCCTCTGTGTGTCAAGAGTTTACCCCATAGATTAAAGAAATTAAATGATTTCATGTTCCTTTGGAGTTGGAAGTGGGACAAAGCTCAGGAGAACTGAACAGACACATCATTTATTGCTTTTATGGGGTCTGCTCTAGGATGCCCCAGCCCTTTATGTAGGGAAGACACAATAAAGCTCTTGAGAGTAGGATGAACCATTTCAGGCTTAATGGTTCAATTACTTCTCGTTGTTTATGGTGAAACAATTAGTGTGTGCAAAAGAAAATCATTCATACCACTGGGAGAACTTTTAAGCCACCAGTAAGGTTGTGTGTCAGATCTCTAAGTAATACTTTGAACAACACAGGAGGCTTCAGCTTCGTCAAAGGAGACTTGGCACTGAACGGTGTCTGGCTATTCCTTTTGTTCGTGATAAGGTGTCTATGGGGCAGGATCAATTGCTCAACTTCATATAGCCTTTTTATTTTTCCTGTCTCTTTAATTCATCTGACCACAAGTATCTCAGTAGTCCTCTGTTTTCCTATTGCTTATCGTTTTGGATCCAGACAACCTTTTATACAGTGTCTCAAATTTCACTCCAAATATGAAATGATGCCAACTTAAAGTGCAAAAGCTGCTGGTTTTCTCTAGCAAACTTTGACACAGGCCAGTAGGAAAAAGGCTATTTGAAGATGTAGTATCTTAGTAAGCTTACCTTAGTATCTAGTATCTTAGCATGTGTCTTCCCAGTTTGGGAAGACCTTGTCGTTGTTCTGGGCTTGCCCCTAAGTAGCCGACGCAGAAGTGCAACTAAGAGAGCTAGGAACATATCTATATATTTGGGGCCAAGGCTTCTTTTCCCTATTTTAAGGTTGTTTTTAGAACTTCTCAGTCATACCATTATTTGTGTGGAGTGGATGCAAGTGGCATGTTCCCAAAGTATCTCAGGTGAACTCCTTTGTTCAAGTTACAGGAGATTTAACAAAGTAGTCCTAGTGATTCCTGGTAAATCTTGAGTCAACTTGATCATTAGAGAGCCTGTAAAAATGTAGTGTTTATAAAGCTCAGATAGCTTGCCATCTCTACCCCAAAATGCTTACAGGCTGGATGTGAAGGGCAGCTAATCAATCCAGCAGCTTTCTCCCTTGAGTCTGAGCCTCTTTATAACTCTAGACCTCAAGCACTGGCAGATCTTAAAGTAGCTGTACGTGCGTAGTGGGAAACTGAGCTCATGATCAGAAGGTGGAGTAGCACAATGAGATAATGTGACAACGAAAACAGATACCTCAGTGTGTCTCTTATGAGATCAGTTGCTCTGTGAGAAAATAATAATAAAATCCAAGTGAGCTAATAGCATGGAAAATAACTGGAGAAATCGTGTTTGATATAACATTGCGGAGGTCTGCTGGATAATGGAAGAAGTCAAGTCCTCTTTTAAGGGATGATAGGTCTATCAGGTGTTTTGAATGTTTTTGGGGACTTTCAGGTAATTCGTTTGCAAACCGCAGGAATTAATGAAGCTACTTTGGTCTCTGCTAGCTAAACTCTTGTGGTCTCTCATAGCTGACTCAAATATTTTTGGAAGAGGGTGGCTCACTTTTTCTGCTCTCATACAAGTCTGTTTTAAGGCTATTTCTTCAGCACTACTTTCTTATGACGAATGACTTCATTAGTGAGAATTCTGTCTGCATCCTTTTCTGTCCAGAGCCTGCTGGCTACGGAAAGACTGCAGGCAGCCTTACATACACGTTCAATTTCCCGGCAGAAAGGTCTAATTCTGTACCTTTATTCACTTTCAATGCTCATCCTTTTATCTTCTATAATAGCTTGTATGTTGAAAGTGCATTTTTAATTAAATTGTTTGCATCTTGTATATGTACAGCATGTTCTCTTTGAGGGCATTTTTATTACAGTGGAAGGGTGGTGAAATGTAATAAGTCTCAAGAATAATTAAAACTTGTGCTAACTTGTATATGTTTCTAGTAGCAATTGAACTTTGTTTTGAGTCTCTTCTGGGTCCAAGATTAGATCTTAATCAAGTAGGAAGGAAGGAAGGGGCAAATAAAGGAAGGGCTGTTTGTACGTACCTGTATAAATTCTTACCAGTTTAAGGTAAATCTCACCTGTTGCGTCAAAAGGTATTTAGCTTGAGAAAGTTTCTGTGTTCAATGCTTATCAAGGGAGAGAGGTGAGAAGTGGAATAATATTGTAAATCATCTGTTTGGGCTTTTTACCTATCTGTATGTAGCCTTTGAGTATTGGTTTGGCCACGTCAATTTACACTGAAGGGAAAAAAGCAGAGCAACCTGGGAGGGCTTTAACAGCAGCAGTGTGACAGAGGAAAGATATAAATAACTTGGGATTTTTCAAGAGAATGTAATAAACTGATGCTCTCAGTTCAGGGAGGTAGAATGTCTAAATCAGAAAGATGTGAGATTTTGATTTAAGCTTTGACTTTCTGTACTAAATCATCAGGTTCTTGTATCAGAGCATTTTGTGTAGTCAAGTTCTAGAAAGCCAAGGGAGGCTACATCTTCCAAGTCTCTTCTTACAAAAGGCGAAGACAGTTAATAATTTTTCAGCACCCAAAGACCTGAATGCATGTTGAAAAACCACCCTTGCTAAATCAGTGAAAATGCCAATAACGTCACTTTCTTCCCCAAAATGCTGGAAACAAATGCTTTGCAGATACAAAGATGAGATGAAAAAGAATTGAATTCAAAGACAATTAGAGTTCTCTTGCATGAAATACTTTGCAAAAGTGTTAATTTGTCTGAAAAATGTATTTACATTGACTTATAGATTGTCTGACTTTGCCAAGGACAGCACGTAAGGTAACATTACTTACACAGTCTTTATCAAGGATTCTATGACATCTTGCTTATACTCAAGTCTTATGGGACTTAGGTAACAGTTTTGAAAAGGAGAGTAGTTCTGAAGATGTCTCAAATATTAAGCCACGTTCAAGGACTATGCTAAATGTTAAATGCTAGGTCAGTCTGGAGGATTGTTGAATTTCTGGAAGAGATCCATTTAGGTTAAACCAGAGCTAATCTCTAATTAAAGCCCCTATTTAAATGTCAGAGTATTACATCTTGCTAGCTGAAGCTAATTTTTAAAATCACATAAAATTATATTTAGTGAATATATTAGGCAGGCCTTCACAAAAAACAAGGACTCATGTGATCATTCTTCAAGTACAAATGAAGGGACAAAACCTCCGAGGGACAGAAACGTTTCTGTTTCAGGCTGCCAGGATTTCCCAAGAATGACTGTAAAGAGTTGCTTATTGTTTGTTTTTCAGGTTGTATCAAATGCTGCTGATCAGGGAGTTGCCATCACTGGGAACAACACTTTCAACAACTGGAACTGGCCTAATGCTGTGATCTTTGCTGCTACTGTAATCACTACGATCGGTAAGTATAAACTTTGCTAACTGTTTTCCTTATGCTCCAGTGTGTTCGTACACTTCCATTTCTGTGTCAGGCTAGTCTCTGGATTAACTTGATATGGCTGGAGTTGCATAGAGTACATGTGTTCATAGGCAGGTTTGTAGAGGAAAAGTGTCTTTTGGCACTTAGGCTTTTTCTGTACCCATGAGTATTCTCTCTAATAAGTAAGATTCAAGAGCTGTTGGGGTTGACTGCTGTCACTGCAGTTTCATTCATAAATATGCTTAAATTAACAAATCATAAAATCCCTAAGCAAAACCGTTATAAAACTTTATATTAACTTAAAGCATGTGCATCTCAGATTTTTTGCATAACTGTCCTGTTGCTCACATGAATCTTCATATGCTATTGAATTAGCAGTATTCTTGGCTTTCAGAACAACCTAAACTGTTTTTAATCCAGCTCTAAAAGGAAGCAAAGAGCAAGGACTGTGTCTTGTGCTTATAAAATCCTCTGCATTTAACACACAGATTTTCAGAGCTGAAAATCATCTGCCATCTGCTTCTACAGATATATATATTTTTTTTTTGCTAGAAGTTATTGTTACACCCTTCCTACACCTACAATGTTAAAAAAATAAAAATAAATCCAGGAATGCAAATCAACCAGAGAGAGGAGTCTGGAGGTTGGTGTAAATGGAAGTCTTACTTCTAGGTCATATATAGCACTGTGTTTTAATTTATTACTTGAAGCTGTCAATACCCAGCTTATAACTTAATTTATGACGCAAAGCTGAAGTCAGGAGCACAGCTATACAAGAAAACTCTGGCAGAAGTTCATAAACTAGGTTCCTGATTTTAGAGCCTGAGTTGAAGAGTCACAACACACATCTCAGTTAACTCAAACCCTTACCTTGGGAAGGCACCAAGCCATAATGTAAATGTGCAGAATGGATCTTTCACGTGAAAGCTTACTTCAGGGTGAATTTCATTTCATAATGTTGATTCAAACTCAACCTTAAATGCTGCCTATGGTTGGGAAATCTTATTAGAGGTTTTGGGATGAGGTTTTTTTTCTCGTGTTTATCTCATGTTGTCAAGAAAAAGATGCATGCTATCCAGGGAGCACTTAAAATGTGGTACTTCTCTCAGCCTCCTCTAATGGAATACACATTTTCTGGAGTAATGTTGGAAGGCATCCAAATTCAGGAAATCAGCAGCTGGAATAGACTAATGTTCTTGTATATGATGAAGTAAGGAGCATCTGATACAGCAGAAGCCCACGCAGTGTTGTTTAACGTATAGGTAGAATTGCCTTGAATTCTCTGCAACAAGAACAGGCCATGCACATACTTTATCTCTTTCAGGTTACGGAAATGTTTCTCCAAAGACACCCTCTGGGCGTCTCTTTTGCATATTTTATGGGCTCTTTGGAGTTCCTCTGTGCTTGACGTGGATCAGTGCTCTGGGGAAGTTCTTTGGAGGACGTGCCAAGAGGCTAGGCCAATTTCTGACAAAAAGAGGAGTAAGCCTGGTAAGATCCTCTGCTCGTTTATCTTCCTGCTGTTTATTTTTGATGCACAAATCAAGCTTACTATCCTTAATTTACCTGCTCTTGTGGTAATAAACAGACACTGTTACGAATATGAATTTCCCAAATGTTGTTGTGTAGAAATAATTGAGAAGGGCTAGATCCTATATGTTAATTCTACCAGAACTTTTAGCAAATGATATCTTGCGGAAACGTTTAATAATATAACTTCTATGAAGACATGCATCTCCCTGCATGAGAAACCTATAGAACCAATGTAGATGAGGCTTTAGTTTCACAAACATTCCTTGCAAGCTCCTGTAGTGTGGAAGTAAGTTGTCCTGCTTTGCTTCTACCTTTGGTTTTTATGCTAGCATGAGCGTTTTACTGTTATGCACTGAACCAGCTGAAAAACATTTTGTTCTCAATTACTTTCTTTTTGTTTGTTTTTCATGTTGGATGAGTTTAATCTCAGTTCTAATAACCACACAAAAATGGGAGGGAATGCAAGAACTGAGCTTCTGGAGCAGGGTGGGATTGATTTAGGCCTTAATTTCAGAAATGGCTAGAATTTTCTAGGTTTAGCACCTGAGAAAGTGTGAGTATAATGGTGAAATGAATGTGTGTACCCAGCTTTGTGAAGCAGGCTTTGTGCAGAGGTTAAATGAGTGGCAAATGGTAGGAAATGTAAATAGGAGAAAGGCAGCACAAACAGTTCTGATCTATGTGCACTGTTGTAGGACATCACAGAATCACCAAGGTTGGAAAAGACCTTCAAGATCATCTAGTCCTATCACCTACAGTATTCACTAAAATACAGTTGTGTTCACAGCAGTCAGTGACCTTTAGTGATGACTTATAAACTTCTAGCACAAAATCTGAAATGGCTGGTACTGTTGCATGATGCTCAGAGCCATGAATGGAAAATAAGATTTGTTTGCGTGACTCTTCCCTCTTTCTTTACAGAGGAAAGCACAAATTACATGCACAGCTATTTTCATTGTTTGGGGTGTCTTGGTCCATCTGGTTATTCCTCCTTTCGTCTTTATGGTGACTGAAGGATGGGATTACATTGAAGGTCTCTATTACTCGTTCATTACTATCACTACCATAGGATTTGGAGATTTTGTTGCTGGTAAGTAACTATTTTTCATGTATTGTTTCACTACATGTACAGTGTGGCAATTCTGCTTCTAAACTCAAATTCTAAAAAGCTTTTCAGAACACTTTTTTCTGAATAAAAGACTCAATAAAAACTATGTACTGCTCTAATTGGCTTTTCCATCTTGGCTTAGATACATAAGGCCTTTACTGGACTTAGTCTGAAGGCAAGCTCTGGAGTTTGTAGTCCTTTCAACTTCCCTAGGTTCTTATTTCAGGCATGAAGCTTTCCTATCTACTACAACAGTTAAGCACCTTTAAAGGGGCATGTCATTCTTAAATGATAATTTTTGGGCAGCTGTCTAGAACTAGTTAAGCAGGAAATGCTGAATCCTTTTCTCAAGTGCCTATATCCATATTTTAAAGACTGAGGGAATGCTTATAATTTTCCAAACACGTGGAGTGTGTGCTGCCATTTGACATTGTAGTCCAATGGTCACATTACATGCAGCTAAGAAGTGGAAGACCTACAATCAACTTTGTCAGAGGGTTTCAGATCCCTGGTCACCACTTCACAAAGCAGTGTTTTAAGAAGTAGGTTCTGCTAGAGTGGAATGGAGTATTTCTCAGGGTAATAACTCAGCTGCAAATCTGCTTCTAATGTTCTTGTTTTTTTTAATTCTTTCTAGGTGTAAATCCAGATGCAAACTATCATGCCCTTTACAGATACTTTGTGGAATTGTGGATCTATCTGGGACTAGCTTGGCTTTCACTCTTTGTCAACTGGAAGGTCAGTATGTTTGTAGAAGTCCACAAAGCAATCAAGAAACGGAGAAAAAAAAGAAAGGAGTCATTTGACAACCATCCTCGGTCTAAAAAACCCCTTCAAATGGGTACCTCAAAGGATGTGAACATTTTCAGCTTCCTTTCGAAAAAGGAAGAGACGTACAATGATCTTATCAAGCAAATTGGAAAGAAGGCCCTGAAGACAAACAATGACAAGATTATTAAAGTAGAAAACACCAAACAAAATATGCAGAATGCCATTAAAGATGCTCAGGTGACTTACACAAAGTCAGAGTCATTTGAGTATGATGAGTCTTCCCTGGACATTCAAAATGGTCATGTTTTGAGACATCTGCATGATAAACGTATTGGAGACAGTCCTATTGAAGGAAACATGTTTGTAAACCAGCTGGACAGGATAAGTGAAGAAGAAGGTGAAGTATGGGATTCCAGAGACTATCGACCCTTAATATTTGAGAATGCAAATATAACATTTGTAAATGAGGATGATGATGAAGAGGAAGATATCTCAGATGATGAGGAAACTTCAAAATCCTCAATGGATGATAATATTGTAGAGGAACCTGAAATTGCAAAAAACCTAGTAAAATTCCCATCGTCTGATGAATCTACCTTTACCAACAATGAGCTAGAACTTTCTGTGCCTTATGAACAACTAATGAATGAATATAATACAGTAAGCAATGCAAAGACTGCAACGTGAAGTGAACTTAGTAGTGGTTTTCTGAAAATGATCAATGCATATCGAAGAAATTAACAGAGCAAGGAGAAAAGCTTGTTTTTGCAGCTTTTCCTGTCTCTTTGAAAACAAAAGCAAGTCCCAAACTAATAACCTGCAGTGTCCTTTTTCCTATATTAAGTTGGTTTCTGAGCCCATCTGCTATGTTTATCTGAAAAAACTTGTAAAATACCAGTTGAATTAGGAGTCTGACTCCTTCTTGGAATTTTATGGTTCTCAAACAAAGTAGACAAAAAAAGACTAGTTAATACACTGGACCTGCTCTGCGTTTATGCATTTCATTGAGGAATTAATTAGTTTGGGAGTGTAACTACACAGTTGCAAAGAGTTTGTTTCAGGCATCAAATGTGTTCGGTTACTCCACTAGCCCTTCACCTCTGAAAACCTGGATCTAAGTAACGCTTTGATCAGAAATGGAAGCAAGAGGTTTGCTTTTTAAAAAAGGTACTCGTTGTTACCACAAAAAAATGGTGAAACCACAAGTTGTTCTTGATGAGAAACTTTAAATGGAACACTAGAGACGAACAGATCTGAGCTGAGGTGTGCTGGCAGACTGAGGAGGAAGCTTTAAAACATCTGTCTAGAATATGTCTGTGCTTGCCAAATTATAATGAATTGCAATTTTGTGAATAAAATATTAATATTTAAAATTCCATGGAATGGATTGAGAAGGAGCTCTCTAACAAGGAAGAAATATCTGGGATGAAGCTTACCAATTGGGCTGCTAAACTACAACTCAGCCCCAGAACTGTTGAAGAGTAAGGAGACTGGAGGACCTACTGATCAAAGCCTGTAGGAGCACAAACAAGATGCAACTTTTTAATGTTGAAAGTGTCCTTCCACTGTCCATTTCCTAGAGGAAATACTTGAATGAACTTTATACAGTATCTATGTGTGTGCAGTTGAAGTTTCAGTGATGCTGTTCGTCTGAGGGTAAAAAATTGCCTTTGGAGACACAGATATTCTCCAAACGCCCTAATGCCTGTCAGAATAGACCTGTAGCACTACTGCTGAACTGTGCAGTGTGTTAGTCAGTATTGTTATTTGATGTTCCTCCCAGCCTTGGTACTTCAGACTAGACTTGAATGAGAGATGATTTTTGAAACAGTTGATTATAATTTGCTTATTCGATTTGTTTTAAAGCTTGACCTATGTGCATATGCAATGGTTATTCTATCCTACTTTCAAGAAGGCTGAACAACGTCAAATCCTGTGCAAAACTGTGATATGATCAAGTGACTTGAGAACTTAAGTCACTTTTTAAATGGGACTTTGGCTCTAAACTCCTGAAAGTAATTTGGGTTGGAAATGGGCTTTTAACTGAGAAGGACTTATCTCTTTTAATAATGTTTAAGCCCAAATTATTTTGACTACAAAGAAAATTATACCATGGTTTTTTATTTTTCTTTCATTTTCTGTACCATGCATTAACCCTGACAGCTCTCACAAACATGGTTCTTGATTGCATGCTGTCAAAAAGAACTGACTATGGTTATATCTGATATACTTGGAACAGAAAATAGCCAAGGCCTTTGAATATGACTTGAGTATGTCAAGTTCTGTTATTTTGTATAGTTTCACTGTATTTATGTTGTTGCTCTATGTCCTGAAGTTTTCAAAGTTCAGTGAACAGTTAAAGGTTGTCTCATTCTCATTTTCAGTGTAATGCTGGCAGACTTGCTAGCTTTGCAAGAAAAGCGTATGGAATCTTGCAGTGCTAATCTTTAATTACTAGACTTTTGTAATAACTGCGAATATTGGCTGCAGCTTCAATTGCTGGCCACTCCTTTGGAAACTGGCACTCTGGATATCCTGCTGACAAGAAGTTTTGAAGTCATGACTGTGAAACAAGGGACTGTCTTTCTCTTTTATTCTGTCTTTAATCTTCCATGTATATGAGATTTCTTAAATAGAAAGTGAACTGTCTTACTGACAAAAATGTGGCATCAGTGTAGTTGGAGTCAGATGTTAATGTGTATTTGATTGGTGAAGGGAGATTGTAATTTCAAATCCAACTGTATATGTTATTGCCATTTGGAGTAGGGGTGGCTGGATGAATTTGACTTGTGCTATCAAGAAGATTCTGGTTTAATTCTAATTGACTCCCCCACCATGTACACACCTCTGCATTGTTTTTAAATGACTCCAAGCCCTCCTTCAACTTCTTTTATATCTGAAGGAGCGTGGTTGACAGCTGTACCTTGTAGCTGTAAGATATGTTAGGTAAGAAGGCATACCTGGTACAGCAGCAAGTCTAGCCTTTTTTTTTTTTTTTTTTTTTTTTTTTTTTTCTTTTTTTTAAGAAAATTAGAAAGCACTCCATATAGCTTTTTTGTTCTCCAACTTGTCTTCCATTATTGATGCAAAGATTGAAGTTTTAGCAACAATTATTAAGCTCACAACAATAAGGAGAGAAGAAGCTTGCTGAAATTGTATGAAATGGAAAAGCATAGTCAAGGTTTGATCTTCATTTCAAAAAAGTAAGTGAATAAATTTCTGTTCAATACAGAAATAATACAACCCAGACATTTGGCTGGGCTATGACTGGGAGGGATGTTGCACACTGGAGCACAAGCTCTCCATTCTCTGTTGCAGAGTGCTGCACTTGTGTGCCAGAGCTGAGAATGGCTGGTATCTGTTTCATATTATCAAGCTAGATGTGGCTCTTCGGCCTTTCCAAGTGTAGTCAATGTAGACTGTATGTATATATAGTGAGATTTAAAATAATGGTTTAAATTTATTTTAAAAAGAACAAAATTCCCACTTTCTTGGGGAAACACCTCACAAAACTGTTCTCAAGACATCCCATCACGTGCCTTAATGCAGTCCTGCTATTGGGAGAAAAACAAATCGTTTTTACACAGGAGCCAACACAATTGGTCTTGTTAAGCCCTGCTTATTCTCAGTGTTTTGGAGGGTTTTATTTGGCACACAGTTTTCATGCTGGCTCTCTCCACAAATTTTAACCATTTCCCAGGGTTTTTAAAATTATGGTGCCATCTCAAGTGTATTGAAGTGCTATGCCAGAAGTTTTTTGTCTGCCTGTCTTCCATGTCTTGAGAAGAGTGACGTAGAGGAGTGTCCAGGCTGGATTTTGAGCTATTCAGCTTCCCAAGTGCCTCTGGTTAATTTGAATGAACTCCCCAGTGCTACTTCATATAGCTTTGTAGTTGTTTTATTTATCTGGTCAATCTGGAAACATTTTCTTTGAATGCCACATAAGATTTCATTTGACTAATTAGCTGATCTCTTAATGCAATGTAATTACTTTTTATAGGTGAGGTAGATCTCCTACTTGAAAGAGGAGTTAATTTAAAAAACAGAACACTTAAAAGCAATATAGAAAACAAATGAATAGAAGTAAAAACTCTTCTTGAAAACTTTCTGATTATTGCCTACAAGTAGATTGTATTTTCAGTTGCATCATGTGAGGCATGGGTCTACTTCCACAACAGTAACTTGCTAATTTTACCAAGATAAGCCAATTCATTAATAAGTAAATAAAATCTGGAAACATGACAACAAAAGTTTGTTCCTACAAAGGTCCTTTTTAATATTATAGACCAGGTGACTTCACCCTTCACGACATCGTGACACTTCTTGCATTTGTCCTATGCTATTGAAGCCTGTTTTTAGCAGAAGGGTGGCTTTTTCAGATATAAATCTCACAACAGGCAATCTGACATATCTGATGACACTGGTACGAAATTGCTAAGGAAATATAAGAAGTGGTGTGTTACTTTTTTTCTGAACTAGTGCTTTTTGAATCTGTTGCTGGCAATGGATTTCAGAAAACATACAGAAATAAAACCATAGATTGATAACAGATCCATGGTGACACAGTTGTATATTGTGAGATATTTTTCTCCAGTTGAACTGAGAGAATAAAGTAGAAACAGACAAGCATTACTGATGAGGAGAGCAAAAAGCAATATACGAGTCAGTTGACCTGAACAGAAAACCAAGAATTCTGTTGTAGACTTGTAATTTTTGTGCCTCCTGAGATTCATTCCATTTGTGATGGATTTATGTTTAAAAAAAATAAGCTTGTCTTTCATATGGCCTTTGAAGTTTGTACAGTTCTTTCTTTATCACTCCATAATATGCCTGTCTGTTCTTTGTTGCTGATTGTCACTGGAATCACACTGTATGTAAATATTTGCTAAGTCTTTTAAAATGTAATTTATTTTAATATTTTGCAATAAAAGTTTTAACATTTACCTTCTCTGACATGGGGTGAATGGCAGTCAAGAAATGAAGTTTCTTCTTACATCTCTGTATTTGTAATGCACCTCACAGGTAAGACTGGTGCTGTTCCAAAGAGCTTGAAGGCGTACGGAGCTGATAAAGCAAGGAATATTGGTGACCAGTTCAGTAGCATCTAGTCTGCAATTTGATACAGATACAGCTCAGCAAAATATAATACAACAAGCATTTTGGGCAGCTATTGAAGAAGGTAGGAAAGTTTATTCTATGGCACTGTTTTTCACAAGGCTGTTTATTTTCACAGAAGGTATACTGAGACAGGAAGTTTTCATTGATCAGCAGTGTGATAAAGTAGGAGTGACTGCTGTCTGCATTTCATCCCAGACCCATTAAAATGTCTGAGTGTCAGTTAATGAATTTTCACGAGGATTTTAGCAACTGTTCGTATTCTGCAGGTCTGGAAGCATTTACAGTGTTTCAACTGCAGCAGTTGCCTTAAAATGCCTTAGAAAATAGATAACCTTTTGCCTTAATGTGTCACGAAATGTGACTCAGTGATGCACATGATAGAGATGGAGATACCTGCAGAAACTGGGCCAACCTCAGCCTGAGGGAGTAAAGACAGCTTTTGGGCAACGGGGTGAAAGGAGTGAGACGTGAGCTAGGAACGGTGGGAGATGCATAAGTACAGGAGGGAAAGGTGGATGCTGTCATGATTTGAGTAAGGGTAGTCAACCTCTGCGTTTTCTCCCTGTCCCCAGAAGAGCTCACTGAGCAGAGAACAAGTAGCAGAGGAAAAAGAGATGCCAGATTGGTGGCTGATGCCTGTGAGAACCAAAGAAAAGGAAGTAGGGATTCTCTCATGATGCCCACGGTAGGACATAGCATAGTCTGATGTGTACTTGATAACATTTCTATCATATCTGAGCAGGCTAGAGCTCACAGACAGCTCTCAGTATTTTAGTAGAGAGTTAGTAATTTCAAGGAGATAGGGTAGCAAGAAGTAGGAAAACAGGATAAACCTGTATTTGTTATGTGCCTGTTCTTACAGTCCGTGGCTGGCTGTGGGTTTCTCTGAACGTAATAGCTTAATAGATATAATCACAGACCAGCTGACACTTAGAAAAAATTGAATTTGAGCACATATCGTAGGTCTTTATAATGTGTGGTGCAATGTGATACCAGCAACCTTTAGTTCATGGAAATTCAGAACTCACGCCTTTAATTCTGGAAGGTGAAAACAGTGATACAGCAGGCAGAAAGCTGCTGGTTGGGGCTCTGTTACACAAGGGACTGCTACCTCAGTCTCTATAGGACAATCTCCTGAAGCTGGATGAAAATTTAGAAGAGCCTGTTGAATCTCTTTTGGCAATTACGCAAAGATCTGAAAGGCAGAGGAGGGCTCCTGTCCTACAGCTTGATCTGGAAGAGTTGCCTTATGTTTACGTTTTACACCTTGTGCCTTTCAGCATGCAGTTTTCTATGTGTTTGTTTTTAAACTTTAGCTTCAAGCTTTCCCTGGTAAGGTTATTAATACTGTATTATCTAGGAATAATGGCTTGGGCAGAGCACAGTCTTCATTAGGCTTTGGCTTCTTCCTATTTCAAGAAAAATCCCACAGAGTATGCTTCTGACCAGCAAGCAGACTAGCTGGCCTCCTCCTCATAGCCTGCCTAGCTTTGCAGTGGACCCTGGCTTTTTCTCCTCTTTATTCATCTTCCTTTTTTGCTCCTCTGTTCCTGAGGAACAAGGGGGAGCAATGGGTGGGTGGGAGGAAGCAAACCCAGCCCTGCTGCAGCACAGGTCTCACCTATACTCCCTGTGTTCAATTTCCAGGCTGCCATATTATATTATTATATGCAAGTGATGGTGAGGAGGATTCTTGCCTCTTCCCAGCACCCATCATAGACACACTGAAGAGAACACTCAGTCTTGTTTTTTCCTTGCAGACCCATGCCAAGTTTACCTCTCTGCTCAGTTATGTTTATTACCTATCAGTCTTGTATAGCATGAGATACCTACAGGGCTTGCTAAAGGATTGCTTTTGGCTTTCACACTGGTAAATACCTTCTGCTGCAGTGCAGCCAATGCAGCATCTGCTGCAGGCAAGGGGTCAGGGATGCGTTAGCAACCCTGTTTGACATGATTTTTTTACTTAGTTCCCAAGAAAACCAGACTGTTAGGGTGTGAATTATGTGGGGGGGGGGGGGATGATGTTTTGTGGGAACACAAGTGTCAAAGCAAGGGGTTCTATGACTTGAAATGAAACCAAATTCAAGTAGTAATTTTCTTGGATGATATATTCCTAATATAGATATAGTGCTGGAACTGAGAGGAACACAGAGGTCCAAAATGGAACACACAAAATACTTCAGCTCACTGGCCAGGGAAATCTGCTACTGCAAATCAGAAGGGTTAGTCTGGAAGAGGAGAGTTGAGGTGGGATGGAATGTACTGTCCTGCAGTCTCTGTCAGGTAGCATGTGCTAGCAAGGACTCCTGATGTCCCAGTTTCCAATTACAGCCGACAGCAATAACTCCTTCTAATTAAGTAATTATCTGTGTTTGTATATGTGAGTAATTTATCCATGTATGAGAAGTATTCCAGTGGAAATACTTGTAAATTCAAAGAGTTAGGTTCTTTGTTTGTTTTTTAAAGTGAACTGAAGCAGTTATGTATAAAACACACACAGGTTTTTATTTTTAGAATTATTTTTATGAAGTGTTGGGAGTTGCCTCCCTATTGTCTCTCCCAGTTGTTCATTGAAAAGTGTAGAAAAGATGGTGACAACGTAGTCCTTGTATTTTGTTGGTTATGTTGCTTTCTGCATGAAGAAATTGTGGAAAATAGGCCTTATCCACCTTTTATTCAGATTAGCGTGGAACTGGGAATGATAGAGATAGCAGAACAAAAACTCTGAATATGTGAATTCTGAAACTGGAGTGAAAGTCTTAAAACTTATATGAAATCAATGTGAATTTTTATCCCATGGATTCTTTTTTTAAATTTGCCATGATAAATTTTAGGAAAATTCTTTTGGATGCTTCCCTAAATACATTAAACAGAAGCACGTGTGTTTTCAAATTAGATCTATGCATTACTTTTTCAGGGGGGAAAAAAAGTACTTTAATACTTTCACACACACTTTTAATCTTATTTGAATGTGACAATGATGTGTGGCACCATGAGATGCCTTTTAATTGTAAGGAGAATGACCATACAGTATGAATGAATATAGTCCTTCTCTGAGAACAAAAATCCTGTTCAAGGGCTGTCAACAGCTTTGCACTGTTTTATGGACCTATAGCTTAGGGCACTCACTGATCACATTTCTGTTTATCATCTAGTTAAGTTTCTGGGTGTATAAGGAAGTATCATAATTAATTCCTAATGCCGTTAAGATCAGAGACAAAAATCCTTTTGTGTGCTTATTTGTGGGTTGGGCCCTGTTTACGCTGATCAAAATAAACGGAGTGCAGAGGAACACTTGTTTCTACACACTCCTGGTTGCTGGGCATAACTTAAAAATATGTGCATCCTTGAATGTGAAATTCATCCATGCTCAGGTTGCAGTAGAAACCGCAAGTGTCTGAAGCTGGAGGATAAGAGTTTATTCACAAAGCTGTGTTGTCATTTCCTGGCAGCCTTCATATTTGCTTCTTATCTGTGGTACACTGGCAGTTAGTGAAAAGTAAAGGAACAAATCAAGACTTGAGCCACAGACAACCTCTTGATATTTTCTATTCCTCTGAGCCTGGGAATTTTGCCAATCCCATCTCTGGCCCGACTGGAAAGGAAGGAAAAATAGTAAGTTAATTGGTATGCTTTTTAATTGCTGATTAAAATGGGAAATGAACACAAGAGCAAGAGTAAGCAGGATGCCTTGGACAGTTGAGGGAGGAACACTGCCCTCTTTGACAGGTTTTGTGGCTGCCAGTTTTTAATAAAAGGTGGAAAATTGTTGGCTTAGTTGAAAGGAATACAAGGAGAACTTAAGGAAGGCAAGCTAGGCTTTAAGATTCTTTCTTCTGTGCTGTATTTCTTCAGAAAGTTAACATTTTCTGTCTTAAATTAATGTGAAATACCATGCTAGAAACTGAGATAGGTATCAAATAAACGCAAGATAAAGTAAATACCTATTTTTAAATTGCAGGTTGAAAGTTCTCTGTAGTTCTGCTATGCAAGTTCTTCCTGTACAGGAGTTTAAATGGAGGAGAGAGTCTGACTGACATTCAGCACCCACACTGATAATCCTAGCACATGTCATTCAAGCAAAATTAAAAGGAGGCTGTTGAATAAGGAACAATTTGTTTAAGGCAAGAGACAAAATTCATGTCAAGAACAAGAAGAATTCAGAGATCCATAACTACTGCATCTGAGAAATCAGATACAATATTTGTTGGGAGATTTACTCCAAAACATTAAGAAATCAATTTTCTGGAAAATAATTTTAAGCACTTTTCTGAAGATATTTTCCGCCTAAGTGATACTGACTTTTTGAGGGAGTTTAATTCTATGCTGTTTATCACTAACTAAAAAGTATAATGTTAGGGGGGCACAAATACTTGAAAGCTGCAAAAGCTGTGGGAAAGAACTGGCAGCCTGTTAAAATGTGTAGGTTTGAAGCAAACGTGCAATAAAAAATAAGGTGGAAAGGCACTGAAACTCAAACTGACTTTTATTTAGAAGTTTCTGACCCTGTGTATTCTTGTACTTTCAAACATTACGTGGTTTTGGAAATGCTTGGGAGAAACTTAGCTTCCTCTGGCACAGATAGAGAGGAAAAGGCTTTGAGGTTATCACAGTTTATTTACTGCAAAGTGACCGTTCTTTAAAACAACAACAAGATTCAGGATGAATCTTCTACTCAGTCCTAAGCAGTAATGACCCAACTCATTTTTTTATGTAAGGATAGAACCCCTATGTCTTTTGTCTGTCTCCTTTGGCTCCCACCACTTTCCTCTTTGCATAGGTGTCTTCATTTTCCTTTTCCTCTGTTCCTCTTAATCTATCCTTTAACAATTCCCTGCCCCCTTAGAGCATCATGGCTGCCTGTAGGGAGGGCATGGAAGTCACCTGGTGTTCAGTCTGACAGCCAGGAGGTAGAACTTATTTCCCCAGCTCAAAGAGCACCA